AAAGAATGAATTGAAGGACTCACTTCAATTCGTCAAAAGCACTTTTCGCACAGCAAAAAAGTTCTTCCAATTTACAATATTTATCACTCAATTTCTTGATTTCGTTCCGTTGTGACTCTATCACGAAACGTGCCATTTTCAGTCGTCGTTTCATTTGATTCGAATCAATTTCTTTACACCTTAAATTCAATTACACTTCACCTTCGAATAAATACCAACGAATGTAAATAGAAAGATTGATTCATCTCATTACCTCTCTTATTTTCATTACTACTGACGAAATCATTAGCACTTTCCAATCATTCATAAATATTTTAGGATGGAAGAAACTCACAATGTTGCGCTCTCTTCATTGTTCCACTTGTCCATAAGGTATTCAATTAATTCACTATCAGATGTTTGAGACGAAACAGGAACGAGTGACGTTGATGGATGCTGAAGAATGACAATACTGCTGATAAAGGTAATGGGACTAACAATAATAATACAGCAATGATCAAAAAATAATCCGATCACATACTCCAGCATTATGATGCAATAACGTTTCCGACTACTCACCTGCTCTATATCCTCTAAGAATGCCTGTACACCACAAGATGTTAATTTTTTCTGGACGTGCTTTTCATCAGTCATATTACCCGCTGATTTCGGAACTGTTTTCTACAAAAAATTCATTGTAGAGTCACGCAGAAACTGCCAATTCGATCACAAATTATATTACGATTACCGAAGAAATCACTAACTCCACCAAAATATACCTAATGTACCTCCAACAGAACTATTAAGTAAATAACTTGGAATTTCATTTTCACAATATCACTAAAAGCAATCCCATTGTGACTGCCGAATACATTAATATTCTCATCATATTTAATAGCAATATGATTCACATGAGCACTGCTCAAAACACTTCTTCCACAAAACTTAATATAACAGAATGCTGTGCTATTTTCAAGCTAACGAATAAAAATTTCATTAGAATAATCATCACTGATTGTAAGACATTTTGATTTAAACAAATCTGAAAGTTGATTGATATTGTCATGATGTGAGTAATAAATGTAACAGTTTGAGAAGAGTGACGAACCTTGTGTGAGCTGGGGACAGTCGATTTCGCCTTTGAAATTGACGGGATTTTAAAGCTTTCTCTATCAGCGCCATTCGTTTTGCTACGTTTCTGTTGTTTCACATCCGCTCTGGTGCTGGCCGTTCGGTGGTTACTGCTTGTGGACGGCACAACCCTCAAATTACTAAACAATATTATCAGTCATTCAATCGGAATCACAGTAAATAATAACAATGTATAACGGTATCAGTAATACCGTTATACATCTAAAGATTTAACTAGTCTTGTAATTTTCTTTTGAATGAAATGAAACTGCTAATAAACAAGATTAATTTTATCTCATTTTCAACACCACTCAATAAAATACCTAATTGTAAGAAAGATTACATTATCAGTCCGATGGAAAGTATAGAATGCGTTATAACTTAAGAAGCAACAAAGGAATCCGTACTCAGAAAATACTTCTTTATGTTCGTTTTTCGTTTCTGATGGCGTTTTCCGATCTCGCACCGCATTCGCATTGCATTCTTTTGTGTTCGTCTTGACAGGTGCGGATTTCTGGAAGCATTGATTGCGCTTTTTACGGCGATTTAATTGGAATGACATTCATTCATTCATTGACATTTGAAGAGACACTATCGAATGAAGTTGACATATCGAGCAACTCAATGAAAAACAACAGAAAAGCAACCTTGGAATGAGAAACAGAAATGCTCTGGGTTGATTCAACGGATTCTTCATTTTTATCGTCTTTGGAAGATTCATCATCTGACGAAGATATTCTACGATTCCTTAAAAAAACATTTCCTTCCGTATTCAGAAACTAAATTAAAATATGTACAAATAAAAGTTTTGAGTGTTCAATATAAAGTATGGTTTAAAAGTGCAGAATACAAAACATAAAGACGAGAGTTTTCAATTCAGAACATTTCAATATTTGTCATACCTTTGTCTAGCGTTCGTGTGTTTCCGCATTGTCTGCGGTCTTCGTCGACGATGTCCGCTTTAAATCAAATAATCACCGTTACAAATACTTTCAAATTACAAATAATATCCACTATGAAATCACGAACTATATGATAATGTGATCATTTCAGTGCATAATATTGCAAAAAATCAAACAGTGTTTTCAAACTGAAGGCATTGTCACTGTCCTCGCATACTGAACACATTTTTCACTGTTCGGCGGCATTTTTTACTGTTCAGCAAAAGGACACAAAAAAATGAAAGAGATTACGGAAACGTATTTCCGAAAATATTGAATCGCTTAAAAATATTCTCGAACACTGGGATGCAATTGCAAAAAAATCCATTTTAAGCACAATCTTGAAAAAAAATTATGTTCACTTCAATGGAGAAAGTTTCGCTTTTTTAAGAAATTCTGTTGAGTGAATGAGTGAATGAATGGGCTCATACCCGGCAGGCGGAACAACACGAACTTCTTCCCCTTTCACCATTTGCTCGGTCGATTCATTAAGTTGACTCTGATCGTCCGAATTTTTTGCATCTTCCTTACGTGACTGTTTTTCCGTTGATAAAGGCGACAACGAATTGCCCTTTTTAGACGGACTTGTTTCCTGAAACAAATCACTGAATTTAACACTCACATCGTTTCCCTATAAGCCATAATCGAATCATCACTTTATCTTATCTGAACTA